TGCCTGGGAGTACAGGGGAACATCGGGACTTTAAAGTTGTCGACCCTACTTCAAGGAAGTTTTACAGGTTAACGGACCGAACAACGGGCCACATTACTCGGAAATTGGACTACATGCCGTCAATACGGAGATTGTTTTTCCCGGAAGGTTCTTCGTCTTAGCACTTTTCACGGTGGTACAAGATACACACACCGCATTTTTCCAGTTCTTGCTGTCGCGAGTATTGGAAACCGATTAGAGACGTACTTGTTACTAATTCAAGCTAACCGTGACGTATTCCAGAATTCGTCCATCTCAACAAAAGACGATACTTGATGTCATCGAAATCAGACATGGGTTTGTTTACATTGAACATGGAACTATATAGTTCCATGCATTGAATAACACGCCAATCGCACCAATATCTGTATTAGTATGTATTTACACATGTGACGAGTGCTTCACGTTCGGAATTATTTACTGCACACAGACACCTGCTGTTACAGAATAAATTTGTCTTGTTGTTTTCAACTTTTTTTTACGAGTGCACAACTACGCCACGTAGTTATGCCCTGTTGTGATATAAGCGAGTACGATGTGATACAATACGGACGTCGCGCACATAGGAAAGAAACGCCTAGAGATGTAACATACATACACGTGTTGTCTCAACACTTTCTCCAGAAAAATGAAAGCTCGCGTGAAATATATATCACCCACGTGCATGCTACTAAGTGCTGATATCGCATGTTAATCATGGGAGGGGAGAATTTCAGGCAATACGACATATTCTTTTTAAATAATTTGACAAGTCACGTATCATCGTATCAACGTTTGGCTAAGACAGAAGATTTAACATTAGTAACTCGGGAAAATACATGCTTTTTGTATTCTTCCATGTCATCGACATACTTTATAACCACTGCTCTAAACGTGTTTCTATTTGAAATATTTACTTAGGACGACGATTACCAAATATTATCTACTGTATAGTACCTCGAAAAGCTAGTAAACCTTCGGGGAAGAAAACGGCTCTAGTGGTCTACATAGAAACCCGGGGTAGATTTTGAAAAACAAATCTGGATAGAGATAATTTTGGAAAAAAAAAAGATTCTCCGGAGTATGTGACAGAAAAAAAAATCCATACTTATTTAACAGAGATAAGATGCAAAATTACATAAATATGATAAGCTAAATACAAATCAAGTCAACATTGAATGAAGGAATAAATGTACATTTTTTACCATAACCCCCTCCAGAGTTTGTATTTTTATCCACAAACAGAGGAACTATTCCATTATTAAAATTGTTTGGTTAAAGCGTTAATTCGATGAAACGTCGATGACAAAATCGTTTTTTTTCAATGAAAAGCTGTGATTCAACCCAGTTTAAATTTAAACCGCCACGTGACAGGAAATGGTATTCCCCAGGACATTGGCGGTTCTATTCATCCATCGTGTTAGTTTAATGCTAGCCTGTTTTTTTTTATCTCGACCTCGACCTCGATCTGCTAATAAACTACTCTATATTTGGAAACACGAAGAGTAATTTCCGTAATCAGGGTGACTGTGCTTTCCTTGTAGCCGCGGTGAAGCATAACTACGATAGAATGCATATTACAAAACCCCCAACGCCGAGGCGGGGGTGCCGAGGTGTTGGGGAAGCGGATGTAGGTATACATGCATCTCCGCCTAAGGCAGTGGTGGAAATCTAACCTTTGTTAATTACTATTACCATTATTATTCACACGCCCTTCCTGAAATCGTCGCACCGATTGGTTAGAATTCGGTCATGCGGCATTCATGAAAACTGAATATTTACGGAATTATTGATTCTTTTGGCGCATGCGTATAGATGACAAACGTGAACATGTCGTCTGCTATAGAGTCATGTGACTTTGATTTTGGCTTCATTATTTCAGTTATTTCTTTAATGACCACCTGTTATTTTTCCAGCTCGAACAAACTTGTATTTGATGTGGAACTTTTCGGCGTCTCATTCATTGTAGATTAGTTTTAATTCTATTCCAGAAATAATGGTCTACTCCCAGTAATGACAGCCAACTTGATCGGACTAGTGACTAATTCGAGGTCTCCAAATCTTACTATATCTCGTGTGAGTGGGTATGCCAATATTTACGGGTAAATTAGTTGGCACGTATCTAAAATGAATATTTATATATTTTTATTATTTATTCATTAAAAATAATATATATTATCTACAATTTTGTTTTGAAATCAGACAGCGGTTAGTGGACAAAAAAAAAGTCTCCTTATTGTTAACTAGTAGCAAAATGATTAATTACAGAGGATTTTGACACAATGTTACTGCTCTATGCGGTACGAATAAGAGTAACACTATACTTTGTATGAATGAATGCGCGGGCGATCGGATGAATGGTGTGACGAGTAGATACCAATATTTTGGTGTATTTCCCACATCACCTAGTTACTGCGCCCTCACAGACATTGAGTCGATGAGGGCGCAGTAAGTCGATGTGATGAAATATCAATTTTGTTTCCTGATTTTGTTTCAGGGGGCGCTGCGTATCAACATTACGTACTCAATTTGAGCATTACATTACACATACCACTGATATTTGCTTTAAGCCATTAATTAATTTTGAACATAAAACGTAGTTATATTTTTTTATGTAGGAATCAAAATGATAAAACATTGTATCCCACCATGTCAAATTTCAAAATAAATTACTCAATTAAGCAAGATGATGGAATAACCAGATTAAGAGAGAATCAAAAAGTTCACGTACTGTTGACAGATATTGTCAGCATGCTACCTAGTCATCATTCGTGTTCAGCGTCACATTTTCTGTAATATTGTAAATTTTAAAAACATAGAGTTACTAACATATTAAATGTCATTATATAATCTGTATTTGGTTTCAAATACTAGTACACCAATAACAAATTGAGATTGTCTCGCCACTGCATAAATAAAAAATCCATACTAGGTTATCCTGTAAACCATCTGTAAATATTACAGTGACATGGAGTGAATGCACAAAATGTGTATCATATCACGTAAATTTGTACCACAGTCATAAGATTTTCTCTAACAGTGATGAAAGACAATGTTCAACCATTGGAAGAAATTTGTTTTGTTTTTTTTCAAAAAGATCATGTATCGTCCAGTAAGTTATCAACATACCAAATATTATTTCACTGTTTTATTCTAAACACTTGAAGACTGACAATCCAGTTGAATAGATCAATATTATGAGGTTATTACGAGGATACCTCAGAGTATGCATGAAGACAGTACAGCGTGAGTACCGACTGATGTGCAGTAGAGGTCGATGCGACTGTGTAGTGTCTGAGTGCATACTTTGAGGTATCCTCGTAATAACCTTATTATTATACATCTTTTCCTTCCAAGGATACATTATGGAAATGCCGAAATCCAAAAAGTTTAGAACAGAATCAGCAAAATTCTTTGTGTGGAGTCCAGTCAAACTCTGGTGGCAGAGATGTTTTTTTTTTTATTATTAGACACTTACATGCGTAATAATTCCATATTAGTATTTGGAATTCGCATTTCCTAATATGGTAGGATGTAAATACCCTGTAAAATACCGCAAAATTACAACACGCTGTAACTTATGGTGTTACAGTAACAGATGTATAATAATGTTTATTACTTTTTATTAATTTTTGAGAGAAGTAGTGATAACAAATTGGAGAAAATAAATAATTTATTTAGATTGTCAGTCGTCACATGAATGTAATAGAATATACAAACCATCAGTTTGATACAAAAAATTCAGTATTCCAAGTTGTTAGATATCAAAATAACAATAAAGAAACTTGTTGCTATCAAACTAATTACATTGTGATTACTCCATAAGAATGCAATGAAATCGATCAAATACATGCATAATCCAAAACTAGTGCGGTTACTTCAAATGTCACCACGAAATAAAATACCAGTAAATTGGTCAACTGCCTAAAGTGTATTAATCAAAAAGTCAAGTTTAACAACATAATACTCCCAGATGAAAGAGCTTGGCAAATGTAAGAACATGCAACATGCCTGCACTTTTCACTCTCTAGATATTTAACTAATTAAGTCATTAATTTATGTAATCCACCATATTAATTCTTCAGCAGAAGATTATGGATAAAGTATGACATCATATCCACTGTTGTCAGAAATTTGAAAAATGACTTCATTAATAACTTCGAAAGTTGAACTTCAAATTGGCTGAAAGTTTAGAACATGATAGCATGCATGTTTCGGTGTCAAACATGCATATAAAAATAGTTGTCATGGCAACACAACTGTAAATATTCATTTTTGTGTTTTTCTACCAAATGCTCAAATTTCCTTATATTTTATACAATTTATCAATGTGAGTAGGTTATATGGATGATATATAACCAGTTGACCACAGAAAGGGGACAAAAAGTGTCATTTACTTTTAACAATTAAAATAATGATTTTTATTGTTTTGGGCAATATCTTCACTTTATGTGTATTTGTAACATTCTAATTCCCATTACTCCAATTATATACATGAGTAATATGCACACTGAAAATTAGACAAAATTTCCATCAGTATTTCTCATGTTATTCATTTTCTCAATTTTTCACAACAGTGGATATGATGTCACATTTTACCCACAATCCTTTGTTGGAGAATCAAGATGGCAAACTATATAATACTGATGAAAACATGAACCTCTCGAAATTGAAATTTTTTTACATTTGTGGAGGTCTTTCTTTAGGGAGCATTATTTTGTTAGGTTGACTCCCCCTTTAACTGCTTTCTTTCTTTCCTAATATAATTTAATGTTTTTGAAGGAAACAATACGTCTTATGAGTAACAAAATTGTTCAATAAGTTCAGCCAAATTTCATATTAAATAATTAAATTCATTTCAGTTTGCTAGTGTGAAAACAAATACACATATACAAATAATCAAAGACAGTCATTAAAACAAAAATCTTTTATTTTCTTAAACTGAGTGTCCAGCTAATGTGTACACCAGTAGCTATTTTCTGCAGACACAAAAGCTTTTTTTAAATATTTTCATCAAAAGCTGTTATAAAAAACACCAAGGAGACTGACAAGGTTATTTGGTTGAGAACAATGTTCAGTTTACAGAAGCCTTTATAGAAAGTGAGTTTTTGAAGTAGACACTAGCAAATGGTGTTACATTAGGTACGAGCCAGACACTGCTTTTCCCATATTTTCATCTGGCCCATCATTGTTTCACAAACTGCTTGGTTTTGTATCATGTGCTACCATATGGATTTCATATCAAGTTGCCAGCTGGATAGACATTAGTGTTCCAAATGTGAAGTGTTGCACTATGGGAAATTTGCTGAGGCACTGTCAAAGAGAAAGAAATACAAGTTGAGGTTAATGAGTGGTAGAAAATAGAAGGCTGGGAGTCTATTAATTGGTGATATTAAGATGCACACATCACAGCCCCTACAAGTAACCTCTACTGCTATCAAAGATTTTGGTTGAGTACACCATGGAGCTAAAAAAAGCAGAAAAGAGGACGCTATTTAATGCTAAAAATCTGACTTCTTGAAAATGAATGAAGGCGAAAAATTTTGATTAATTATGACAAGCTTTGCAGGATTAGAAACTGCACAATTCATACATACAAGTATGAACTTGTGAGATGAAACATAACAACTCCATCAAATTAGTCTGCAGGTAGTTTTAATGCAATGGCATATTTAGTAGCTTAGTAGTTTTATTGTTATAATACTAATTTTCATGTATTTTTTCTTCTATTCTTAGTTACATTTATTCAATGTTTTATTCGTGATTTTGGTGGATTGAACTGTACTTCAGTTTTGCTTTGTACCCGTACTAAACAATAACATTAGCTTATGTTTTTTCCTCATTCTATAATTATATGTTTTTAATGTGCTATTTGTGATATTAGTTGCGTGAAGTATTATTTCTGTTTTTCTTTTACAACCATAACATTATTTTCTGTAGTAGATTTTCGTGTTGAATAAAATTATTATTAATATTATTTAATCCCTGTTTTAAGCTGATTACTTAGCTTTGTTTTAGGCTGAATTAAACCAATTAAACAAAAGCCTTTCACGTCCACATTTTTGTTTATGCAAATTGTACAATTCATGATACTGCGAAACGGGAAAAAATATTTTACGGTGACTAAACACAAGCAGCCGGTCGGCTGAGATAGCTCCGCTGTTAGCAATGCACATTTCAATTAGGAACTGAAGATATCATTAGAAAATGAACAATATGTATAGTATCAAAGCAATAGGACTTGCTGTTTTCAACAAGAAGTCAAAAATATCACTTTTCACCAACAATGACAAAAATAATCATCAAAATTAGATAATTGAAAATATCACCACGAAATTAACAAATCTGAAAGAGGTCCACATATAGTACCTACATATGTAATATCAAAACAATTGGACTTGCGGTTTTTAACAAGAAGTCGAAAATATCACTTTTTACCAAAAATGACAAAAATATTCACCAAAATTAGAGAATTGAAGATATCATTACAAAATGAACAAATCTGAGAGAGGTCCACATATAGTACCTATATATGTGGTATCAAAACAATTGGACTTGCGGTTTTTAACAAGAAGTCGAAAATATCACTTTTTACCAAAAATGACAAAAATATTCATCAAAATTAGAGAATTGAAGATATCATCATGAAATGAACAAATCTAAGAGAGGTCTGCCCAAGGCACATATACACTAAGTATCAAGCATTCAGCTTGTAGTTTTCAAGAAGAAGTCGAAAAAGTAAAACATTGACACGGACGACGGACGATGACGGACATCACTCATATG